TTTTATTGCATCCCAACAAACCTTTTGTTCTTTTTATTTCTCATCTACAACTTCTTTATTCGACATAAATTTAAAAAAGTTTTAAAAAAATATTATATCTATTATTTCGTTTTAAGATGAAGTTAAATATTTTTAGATAAAAAATAAGATTATTTGCATAGACGTACCCTGAAGTTGCGATTTACGATTCTTTGAAATATAATATTCATAAACTATAGAATCAGAATCAATAATTGAATCAAACTCTCTCAATATAGATGATCAAAAGATATGTTAACACGAAATCACAAAATCATCATGACATATTGTAAAAATATTTTTAAAAAAAATAAATCATAACTTATTGTGAATATAAATCTACAACCCCACAAATTATAAAAACCGAAGTAATTTATTAAACATGATTAATTCACTAAACATGATAATTGACAAAAAAATTATAAAATCTAAAGAATAAAATATGAGGAAACCAAGAAACTTCAAATATTTTTTTGTGCCCAATTACTCAGTTAAAAAGAAATATGAATATAATTGGATGACTAATTCACTAAACAATTAATATAATTAAATGATATTAACTTAATTTTAAAAATCTTACCACTCTTGCCATCCAGGATAAAGATGGGCGGACAGGTGCGTTTGTAGAAAATTGTTGGAACAGTAAATAGAGTGAGCGGGTCCCTTTTTGCTAGGTTATTAATTTAATTACAATATTTTTATCAATGAGGTTTACGATTTACCTTTTAAATAGGCTTTCATGTTATTAAATTGGGTTGGGCAGACTATTTTTTAATTTCTTGAAGTTGGGCCCGGGCTGAAGTATAAAAGTCCAAAATATGGCAGTATAAAATACATGTAGGGTGCATAGACTCACCTAGGCTGTAGCCCAGGTATCCTTGGCTGTAAATCCGCCCCAGCATGTAGATTAAGGAATTATTTGACCAAAGGCTCCAATTGTTCAAATAAATAAAAATAAAAAGAGGGGTTCAATTTATACAAATGAATCGAACATATATACATACATTGAGGCCCGGTAACACAAGAAAAATATAAATTCCAAGGTTTGATCGAATGCCAAGGAAACGGGTTCAAAAGGATTGAAAACGGCTTTACGCGATTAAGCCGAAAATTGTCGAACGAATAAATAGATAACCGAAATAATCTAAACAAACTCATATAACTTATTATATATCAATTAATTGTACACCTTTGTATTTTATTATATATAATGACAATTTTCTCATTAATATTATACTCAAATATAAAAAGTTTTTATTCCATACATTTATTTATAAAAAATTGTTTTATTAGAATAATACAGATAAATAGATAGATGAGTAATGGTAATATATTGATATAATTAATCGCTAAAGATTAATTAAAATTCAACGTATATAGGCATAGCATGATTTTCTAGATATTTTTAATTAATTTATAGATAATCATATTATCTAAATTAACATGTTGCTCAAGTGACATGAAAATAAATAGTTTGGCTTTTAGTATTGTTCAATTTTATAAAATTGTTCTAATCTTACTTTAAGCAAATAGATTGAGTAGATTAGAAGTTTAGGCTGCAAAACAATCATTCAACACTTAATCTCTCGTACTATTACACAAATTATTATTTTTTATAGGTTATATTGAAAAAATAAAGCGTTTCTATAGTTTATGGGCGTTTATGAGGACAAACATTATTGATTTCAATTTTTTAAGTTAAATTAGATGGGCCATGAATATATGTGTCAACGCATTTGTGTCCGGATCGGCTTCTGCATAAACTGTATACTCGCTACTCGTAGCCAAATGCATAAGCTGGGTAGGAACGTCTGTAACCTCGAATCTTTCTTTCCGCAACTTTTCTCTAAAGTTACATACCTGTCGCCGATTAGCGTTAATTATAATAATTATTATAATTTATAATTATTATAATCTAAAACAAAAAAAAATATTAAATTAATAAATAAAAAGTATATTAATTAATTTATTTCATAAAAAAATTATTAATTATCATAATAATAATAAATTACTAAATATTATAAAATTTATTAATTACTATTTTAATAGTTATTACAATAATTATTAGATATGAAAAAAATTACTAATCATTATAATTAATTTCAAATTAATTTAATTAATTCTTATCATTAATTTAAAATTTCACTTAAAAAAGTTAACTAAAAGATATATTAAATATATATATATATATATATATTAATAATTAGTTGTATTACAAAATTTATATAACTATTTTCAAAGCAATATATTAAGAAAATATAAATATATATATTTATTGAAAGATACATATATATTTATTATACCTGTCGCCGATTACCATTGTCTCCCGGATTTTTTCTTGCGCGGCCAAAATTTTTGCCGGGGCACTTGAGTGGCACTCATATCACGAATAATATTTTTTGATGAATCGCTGAGGCTGCTGAACTGTCGATGACCCTCAGGATACACAGCAAATGAATGGTTATGGAAGCCCTTTTCTGTATCTCTACTTGTATGGATCATCAAGTATGTCGATCTTGCCACCTATTTTACTTTTATCTCAAAAGGACAATTGCACGCTTTCGTTTTTGTACGTCTACAATTTCCGCCTTTGCCTCTGTAGCGTTCGCCCCTATAACACTTCAAAACCTTCACCCTTATTTTTTTGTGTGTTTCGAAATAATTATTTCGAAACCATACAGATTTGTTTGTTTTCTTGCAGAGTCGATAGCCTCTGTATCACTATAAAATAATGAAGTGGTATCGAAACCACCATTGTTATCAATACCATCTCCTCCAAAATCTTCTCATAACACCTGTAATATAGTACAATATTTATATCTTTAAAACATGTTAAATTATAATCTAGAACATAATCATTTCTAATTTCTAACATTATAACATATTTTTTCTAATTTATAAGATGTATTAATTCTATTCTAATGTATAAGATAATTAATTCTAACATGTAACATAATATTGTAACTCATAACACGATAATATCTAACGTCCAATTTAATTATAAGATAATCAAGTCTAACATGTAACATAATAATTTTGTAACTCCTCACGATTATCGAACGTCCAAATTATAACATAATCAAGACTAATGTATAACATAATAATTCTAATATATAACATAATAATTTCTAACTCCTAACACGATAATATCTAACGTCTAATTTATAACATAATTATTTCGAATATATAACATAATAATTTATAATAATATTATTTAAAAAAAAAAAAGCGTTCGGCCGGTCGGACCGATCACGACCGGCCGTCGCCTCTGGACAAAGATCGGGCTGTTCGGCCAGCCGGTTTGTACAAGAACCAGTCTGTACGGCCCAAAATCGCTTACGGTCACGGTCCTGTCCGAACCGACCGGCCGGACTCCATTTTTACCGTCCGGTTTCAACGGCCGGACGCGGACGCGATCGGCGGCTGGACGGCGAAAAAACATACCTCGGAAGAAAAAGATATTTCGCTGTACATTTTTCTCTGAGATGTTTGAAAAAAAATAAGAAAAGAAAAATTATCCAAAAAAGACGGTAACTAGTAATAGGGACGGTGAATATGTGTACTGTTATACACCACACTCTCACCAAATGTGAATAAAGACTTCTAGAATTATTGCTCCACATTTCAACTAAAGAAATATAGGTCTTATTGGGCATGGCATGAAATAGACTTACTCAGCTCCTCCAATAATTTTGTTGTTTAATAGATAAAATATCATTTCAATCCTCTCTTTATTTTTTCTTTCCCTCACTTTATGACCCACAATATTTCACATTTCAAAATGATGCTCTTTATTTAGTTAGACCCCATTTTGTGGTTTGCTGGCGGTTAAGAGCATCTCCAATGCAACTTTTGACATTATAAAAAGTCATCCATATCATCAACTTTTGAAAGTGTTTCTCTATTTTTTTCTCCAATGCATTATGTCATACACTCTTTCATTATGAGGTGGATGTTATTTAATGTTGACAATGTTGAACTCACTTTCTAATATCTAACACCATGTTAAACATGATGACTCATCAATTTACTTTATATTTGTTTTAATTTTTTATTTTTTTGTATCAATGAATTATTTAATTGGTCCACCTATACAAATAACTTTTTATTAAATTGATGTATTGGAGATACTAGTTTCATTGAAATTTCTAGTCTTTTAACATTATTCCAATGTGGATTAACATTATAATCACTAATTAACATGTGTTAAAAATAATGGTCTTTCACACTTATAGCATTGGAGATGCTCTTAAGTGGGTGAAAGAATGTCACGTACACGTGTAACTTTTGTAAATTGTATTGAATGTTAGCGTCATAAGTTCAACAAAATGTATTTTTATTAATATTAATAGATAATTTAATATATACTATAAATATAAATGTAATATTTATTTTATATATAAAATATAGATGTCAAATAAAAAATAACTAATTTGGTATATAATAAATGAAAAATTTATGACAAAAATTAATAATTCTTAAAATATACATACGAATTAAGCTAGTCTAAGTGTTTCGCAATTTCAAAAGTTCTAACAGACTTGGATAGAAATTTATAGCTACATTGACTATTCTGAAGCATCAAAAAATTAACATATAGAATTATAAAGCATCATAATTCGAGTACACAACATAAGAAATTAACACATAGCCTCGGTAAACCTTACATTAGTATATAAGAAGGGATTAGCCAAATATTTGGAGATCATTTTGTTTAATTTATTGATTACACTATGAAGTGAGTGTACATAAATATATAGTTTTTTATACATAAACCAACAAATACATTGCATCTAGTTAGTCTAGTTTCCATGCACTTTCCACAAGAGTTTGTTTTAATAATGTGAAAGTAGGGACTCATGAGCATTAGTTCTTTATATTTTTATTTTTCGACACTTTGTATCTTCCACCTTTACTTTGACACCCCCATCAACTCAAAGCTAAATATAAATATACAAGGGCTACATCAACACTTGATTCAAATCATTCATCACAGGCCTCATACTTAATTTCTTCTTGAGTTGTTCTTTTTTCTTTTTTTTTTTTTTTTTTTTGGAAAATTATGAATAATGTAAGATGCAAATTATTGTATGAAGACGCGCAATGCAGAGCAATTGCAACCAAGGGAATGAGTTTTTGAAGATACTATGCAGCTTTGAGGCAACTGGCAAGACTAAAACCTTGGCTATTGATCTTATATGAGGAAAATAAAATGATGTTTGTTGGAATAGATATATGTAGTAGTAACCTAGCTATTTTATACGAGTATTTGTTTATCCATGTAAGTTGTTTGAGATTGAATAAATTTCCACAAGTACTTTGTGGAGAATTATAGCTCAAGCATGAGAATTGTTACGAGCTAGGCTTCCTAATTCCTCTTCAATAAATTTGCTTTTTATTTATTTATTTTAATTTGAGTATGATTTCAATCTAATTCAGTAATTAATTCCGATTCTCAGATCTTTTGTTCAAGCTGAATTGCAGATAAATTGTTCTGGAACTCTACCAAGCCACTTCTATTTCATTATTCCGACTCCAATAACATTTATTAAGTCAAGAAAATGAAGTAGCCATACCTGCAAATTCAATGAAGTACCTAACTCAATTATCATTTAAATGAAGTCATCATCTATTCTCAAGTGTGAAACAAGTCATTGTGTTAAACTCAACACAAATTTTCAGCTCACAAACAATCATGAAATATATACACAAGTATATAGATGGTCTCAACATCTAAACTTGTAGCTCTAAATAACACAGGCAGTTCCAACTATACAAAGTTAAATATAACCAAAAAACTTGTGCAAAAAAATCCCACCACAGAAAAAGACCCAAACCGGCCAATTTAGCATTTAACATTTCCCCCCTAAATTTTTTCGACTCTCTTAAACGAGAGTGCAGCCCCTTCTACAGATCGAGTATTCAGTCAGTTAATGGTAATGATACAAAATGTACATCAAATCAAATTCTATACAAAATTACAATAGTACTCGCATGAAACCCAACAAAAGCCTTGATAAAAAAGAAAACTAACGCTCGTCACATGCCAAAAATCTGGGCCATATTTTTCTTCCCAGATCAGATGAGATGGGATGGGAATTTATCACAATTCAACCAGTAAACTAGAAAGATTGTTCTCTGGATTCTTGGCAATTTGGGCTGCCTCTGCAATTCGAAGGGCCATAAACGCTTTATAAGAAGCTAAATCAGCATTGGCCATGAGCAATTGGGCCTTTTGACGCTTTAGAATAGCCAGGCCCTCGGACCTGCCTGCAGCAGCCTTGGCTTCTTGCAGCTTTTGTACACGGTTCTGTTGCTCTAAAGTGTTTTGTTCAGTTGCAATCACTGTTAAATGGAGTTTATGTTTAATTAATAGCCACTCTAAAATAAAGTTTTAATTTATTTGGATTACATCAAATTCATGGGTAAGCTTACTTGTTCGAGCCCAAATGGTCATGAATTTCGTAAAATGCAAGAGGTGTAGTAAATTAGAAGAAAACATCATAAGGCTTACAATTTCAATTCAGGTACCCAATAGGAAACTTAAATTTAGAACAAAATAAATCAACGGGACATCAAAATAGTATGTCCACTAGAACGTCCAAAAGATACATAGATATCATTTTAATCTTTTCTTTTCTTTTCTTTTTTTTCTCAAAAATTGTACATAAATATCAGTGTACAATAAATGAGGTTAAGATCCACAATAATGAACCCCGGCTATCATATAAACCACCATATTAACAGTTCGTATTACATCAAATACAAAAACAGATCACGAGTCATTCTACTCTTTCATATTCTTTATAGAAAACAATTATGAACACTAGACCTCTAAATAAAAAGCATAACAACAATCGCAAGCATGTTATGAGTGAATAACTTCAGCTTCATCAATAAAATTTCACAACTGATTAGTAGATTAATTTCTCATAACTACAGAAATATAAAGGTATGTTTAATACACATAAAATAAAAAATAAATAAATCAATGAACAAATGAATACCTGGAAAAGTAGGTCGTTGTTTGCCTCGCCCAATCTGACTAGCCTGTCTCTTAAATGATCTTTTCTTTCGTGAAACTGATTTTGTGTTCACTTGAATTCTTCTAGGCTGGTAAAGCTGTCAGTAGAGAAAATTGCAATTTCTAACTTTAGAAGGATGTTTTAGATAAACAGATGCTTAAAATTATTTCCACTCAAAAAGCCAAAATATGAAATTGAAGCTTTCAAGTGCAAATCAGGCTCGAAACCCCACCGCAGGGTAATACTAACCATAAACAACCAGAAATTTCTTCTAATTTACCTGGAAAACTTATTTTANAAAAACCTATTACACATCATCAATAAGAACCTTATATTTACCTGGAAAATCTTCACCAGGGAGGCTCGTTTCTGTTTCCGCTTCTTAACCCAATAGCCATGGATGGCCTCAACAACTTCCTTTCTCTCCAAATGCATGCAAGAATCACACAACACACCTCGCTCGTCCAAATTATTATCTGGATTGCAGTGAAAACCTTTCTCAAGAGCATCAATGATTGACTCGAAACTCTCAGACGTAACAAGCTCAACTACTTCCTCACCCCTACAAAGCTCATCGTTAAAATCAGCCAACCACTCCTCATCATCAGAGTCCATGTCATAAATCGCGCTCGATCTAGCAAGAGCACGAGCCAGCTCATCGTCCCTCACGCGAATATACGAAGCAGGCCTCACGTAAGGCTTATAGTTCTTATTAGTGTCCAGCACTTCCTGCACTGCAGGGACAGGAATTACACTGGTTGCAGGTGAAAGCATGTTCCTTTCATAGCACTCTTTGTAAAGCTCCTTGAAAATCAACCAATCGTGTTTGTTGGGAAACTCAAACTTCGAGCTTGAATCGACGGCCCAGATTGTCGCATGGGAAAAACGATTGGTCCAAGATGGACGCATGACCTTCTCAGCAGTTAGGCTGTACTTTTTCTTTCCATCCTTTTTCACGGCAAGGAACCAATTTTTCGAAGTTGAGAATTCTAAAGTAATATTGGCTCCTTCTTCCCGAAAACACTTGTCGGGCTCGGTTATTAACAGGTTCACGCAACAGCCTGTGATAAACACATCCTGTGTGATTGTACATTTTAGCTCTCTGAAATTTTTCGCCATGGGACTACTCTTGGCTGGAGAAACTTTCGCACTCTCTTGTCTGATTCGTAAAAAGTCAGCAGTCAAAGTTCCAAAGGACTTCTGGGTTCGGAAGCCTGACGGGACTTGACTTTTCTTGCGTCTTAAGGAACTCCGTCTTTTCTGAATGTGACGACTATTTCTCGATTGAAGAGTTCGAAGAGATGATTTACTTATTCCAACATTAGCAGTGCGTGAAAACTCTTTTCTTCCAGAAACAGCTTGAGGTACTACTACTTCCATAGAATCTTGCTGCTCCACATAAGATGGGAATTCAGTTGACTGTATTTCGCAATAATCATCCACATTTGTAACTTCCTCGTTCTTCTCACAATAACTATTGACTGAATGTGCCACAGAATGTGTTTCCGAATAATCAGCCATGTCCATAACTTTCTCTTCCTTCTCATATATACTGACTGAATGTGCCACGAGAAAGCAAGCCGAATGTTCAGATCTAATACACATGCTTGTTTGCATGTGCATAAAGAATGAGGGGATAGCGGAGATATTAACAGAAAAGGTTGGTATTAATGACTTGGATCCTGAAATTAAGCAAATAACGGGTCTCTTGGTGTTGGAAGAATCCTGCAAAATGGGAAAAACAATAAATTGGTGTGCAACAATCACAAGAAATTAAGAAAGGGTATCAAAACAAAGAAAGCAAGTAAAGATCATTGCAATCAAATTAGAGTTGTGAACTTCATTATTGAACCACAGCACTACACAAATTTAAAAATCCAAAAATTCACAACATAAAGCCACTCAAATGTATCCCTGAATGAAGGAGGAGGAAATTTTGAAGGGAGCCGTATAAGGATTAACCTTTTACCTGGAGGAAAAGCACTCCACCTGATGTATAAGCATCGAATATAGGTTTGTACAGAAGAAATGCAGACAGTCGCCTAACACCCATCCTGACCCTCAGCATGTAACTGAGAACTGTAGCAAGGAAGCAAGTGATCCAAAAACCATACCTGCAAGCTGGCCCATTCGCTATAATAGCAAGCTCACGAAACCCAATAACTGAACTCCGTTCAACCCCACAAGTTTCAGAAACTGCCACTTTACTTCTTTTTCTCCATTGCTTCCTGAAAAACTTCTTCCCACATCTTCTATCCTCATTCAGATCGAGCTCTGCCCTTTTTCTCTTTCTTGTGTACACAATGCCATACAACCTGTCTGCACTTTTCACCTCCACATCACCATATTCAGGTGAAAGTTCCTCCATTTCCACATCTCCCAAACCACTGGTTTTATTTTCCTGCTTTGCTTCCTTGCAGACATCATCAGCACCTTCAACTACATCAGCAGAATCTTCTAAAAGCTCGGCCCACTGATCCTCCCCATGAGATACCCGGACTTTTTTACTGTCTTCCTGAGACTTGGTCCATAGCCTCCTGCCTGACCGTAAAACACGTGCCCCAAACACCCGTGTGCTCCTTCTCATACCAACTGAAGGCATTGACTTGAGTTTAAGAGGCAAAGCCCCTGAACTAATTTTCTTCTTCAGCGTTTTAATTGACCACCTTAGTGGCCAGAACTTGGTCGAATGCAAGATGAACTAACTGACTTGACAATCAAAATTCTTTTTTTCTTTTTTTCACTATTTCTTTCAAAATACAGTCAACAGAATCTATGGATATGGGAAATGCGTAACCAGCCAAATTGATACAGCATGAACTAGCAGCGAAGTTCAAAAGGCTTAATTGGCCATGAATGCCTCAAAAGCCCCACCCTAAAGCACAAAGCACGGATTTTTGAAGTCTGCTCAAACAATAAGGTCTTACCAAAATTCGAATTCTTGGAACATGCAGGGGAAACTACCCTTCATCACGACTTTGCCATACCAGAACCAAGTCTTAACTGAACAGATTCGGATCAACTGGTCACAACTCGAACCCACTACAAACCCAGAGTTTTTTTCCCTCTAATTTTCGTTCCAGGCCACAGAATGAAAAAAAAAATACTGCAAGACGATATTTTGGGGGTAAAAATTGAAGATCAAGCAAATCTCACAAACATCTCACAAAATCCCAATCTTTTTTTTGTTAGAATCTCAGACTCAATTACCTATCAACACGCAAACCATACAAATAACACGATACAAAATATTTCCTACAAAACAAAAAATAAAAATCAAAGCATCCCTTTTTGGGTCGTCCACAAAAAGATCCCTTCGATTTCCAAACGAGACTTTTCTATTGTTATAATAAAAATTTAGTAATTCCCTTCTCTCTCTTTCCCTCGATTTAAATGGGGGTCACAGGGGTGGCTGCGAGGCGGGTAGGCTTGCAGGATTTCTAGGGTTTATGTGAGAGGGAAAACAAGAGGGTGGCTATTAACCGCTATAAGTTACTGTGCCGAATATTTTGCACCGTTGGATCAAACTACTAAAGAGCTGAGATCTAAGGAATTTGATGACTTTTGGGAATTGGTTCGAGGAGGTGGCGGGTCCCTTCAAAAGGCCAAAATTGGGGATATTTTTGAAAATTTATGCAATTTGCTCCCTTGATTAATGGCTTATTACATCTAGCTCCCACTACTATTGTTTTATCACATCCAGAGCTTTCTTGATGTTTTTCTATTTATTTTTTTTGAAAACGTGAAATACTTAAAATTCAAAAGAGTGTAAAGGAAGTGTCAACTGACACTAAAGAACAACAAAACCTAAAGAGGTGATTGTTTATGGATTGAACTAGTTTTTATTTGGTTTGTTTTTTAACTATAGTTAATTTTGAAAAAATGTGGTATGGTTAGTTGTTAGTGGATATATTAAAATAATATTTAAATAAAATAATTAAAGTTGATTTGATGTAAAGTATGAGAAAAATGATTGGAAGTGATAGTTAGTTAGAGTTATGTGAGTGGATGGATACTGAATTAAAATTGATGTGATATGTAAAAATGATTGGTTGATATTATTTAATTATATTGATAATATTTATGATAGTGGGGTTGAGTTAAAGTTGAGTTAAATTCGAGTTTTGATTGATTTTTTTACTATTCAATTCATATACAATCACTCCCTAAACATTCCAGACGAATTCAATGGGTGCAACTCTATCAAGGAGACAATTGATACTACAAAACACAAACTCCATAAAGGAGGTTTAAACTCCATAAAAACGACTAGAGCCAGACAAAGTTGGACTAACAAACTTAAAAAAAAAATACACAAGCTTAATGTACAAATAAATAAATCATCCCTACACCTAGCAGACATAACGCACGACTACCCGAGTCAGCACACAAGCCACTCCAAGCAACACATAGATCCAATAAAGCGACAAATCAAATACTGAAAACTGTGGCCACTCGCTCTGCCTAGACGGATTTGATGGAGAGTCAATCTCGATTCAGAATTGGACTCTAAAAATCAACCACACCTAGGGAGGTGGAGAGTCACCAGAAAAGCCACCAATGACCCACGCCGGAGGGCTCGAAAGATGTTCCAAAGCATAGGGAGCCACACTCTTAAACACGACAATAAAGGAGCATGAACACAGACTTACTGACAACCGGCAAACTCAAGAGGCTAGGAGCCCGTTGGTGACAACCGACGACCCGACCTTGGTCGGGAAGATAGCAAGCGGCGAGCCTGGCCACACTCCCACAAGGTCTCGGAACAGGCGAAAAAGAGGGCCCCAGGCCCCGACTCGGTGGAACTCGACTCAGATAGTGCAGCAGTAGGCCTCAGGCGGCTGGGGGTAGGGGATGACCAGATATGAATTTTTTTTTTTTTTTTTTTTTTTTTTCATTCTAGCAAAAGACAGCAAAAGGCAAAAATGGTATACTAATTGCTAAGTTCACTTTCTATTTTAAGTAAATACATAATTATTCAAATTTAAAATAATAAGAATTGTTAACAATAAACACATGAGACAAAAGACAAATATGCAGTATAATATAAATGCAATTATATGATCTATCAACGTGAAAATCTACATAACTTCATAGAATAACTAGTGAAACGGTGACAATGAGAGATATGTCAGAACATTTTGACAAACAGGTATATTATTTGAGAGATGGGAATGTGACGAAGTATTTACTATTATATGAAATGTAACTGTATTTATAAAGTGATAAAGAGACGTTGAAAAACATGTTAACTAGTTGTTGGAACAAAAAATTTACTTGTTTAAAAAATCATTGAGCAATTACAACTTACAAGCACAACAATATTTATTATTTATATTTATATTTAATTTGGTCATAGATATCACTTATTAGAGTTTATCCACGTAAATCTTTGAGTGATTTTTTTGAAACATATAATAGAAAATTGTAATTTGTTCGACGTTACTCGATAAATATTTCTATTGGTATAAATAGCGAGATTGAGATTACAACAAATAAAATTTCATATCGACAAAGCTTCGGTGCACCGAAGCTTTGTCGATATAACAACTAAAATAAAGAACATTTATTTTAGATGAACACTACATTTTAAAAGTACCCACGTTGATACTTTTAACAAAAGTACCCACGTGGGTACTTTTAACAAAATAATGAACACTAGTACAATACCCGTGTAATAGAAAAGTACCGAAACTTTTGTTAAAAGTACCGAAGTACCCACGTGTACAAAATAATTTAATTTTATATAACATTACTTTAGGTTTTAATTAAATTATCAAATTATATTTTTTAATTATAATAATTAACAAAAGCTTCGGTACTTTTGTTAAATATTTTGTTAAAGAGGGCACTTTAACTATGGTAAAGTGGATGCCCACATTTACCATATTTATTTTGTTACAAGCACAATAATGAACGCTAGTACAATACCCGTGTATTAGAAAGTTTTTGTAAAAAATATTAAATTTTTTATTTTTTTTAAAAACTAAAATAATATAATTTTATATAACATTACTTTGGGTTTTAATTAAATTGTCAAATTATATTTTTTAATTATAATAATTAAACACCCGTACATTAAATGAAAATGTCAACCCGTGTTGAATTTTTTAATAAAAATATAAAAATTACATAAAAATATCGATATTATTTACTATTACATAAGTACAAAAATATATATATCTTAAATAAATAGAAATAATATGGTGATATGTATATGCATAAGTGTAGAATATGTTCATTTAATATTAAACAAAATAGATTAATTTTTTTTACTTAATTTAGTTTGATAAATAAATTTAAATTTTATTTATAAGGATATATATTACTGTTTTGTATTATATATATATAAATAGTAAATTTTAATTGACAATAATTTTATTTTCTAATTAATGTTAATAAATATTTTTTTATTATTATAAAGATAAATATAATTTATTTATTTTATATATACAATATAAACGTCAAATCGAAACTCATCAAAAGATGATTAATTTGATATCTTATATATGTAAAACCGATAAGAAATACAAAAGTTATCAACTTTTAAAATATATTTTCAATTCAATGGTTATAATAGGAAACAATATTAAAATACAATTAATAAATATTAATTTATATTTTCAATTCAATGATTAATTTATATCCACGTAGGCTCAGCGCATTCTGAAATTATATATACTAGTACGACACCCGTGTATTACACGGCTTGTTTGAAAAAAAAATATAAAACATAAAATAATAGAAAAAACACATGTTGTATAACTATTTCAACTCTTTAAAATATATTAGAAAGATCATGTAATATTCTATAATTATATCAATGTATTTTTATAGATATTTTAAAAAGATTTAAATAATTTATTTACCATGGTTGGATTGAAAACATATAATATGCAAGTGGCTATATATGTGTCCAATTTGCAAAAAATCCTATTTACACGGTATATAAGAATCTATTTACACGGTATATAAGATAAGAATCCTATTTATTTTGTAGTTGAAGGATTTGTACGACATATAAGAATTCTATTTATTTTGGAGTTGAAGGGGATCAGATTAAACAAAAATCTTATTTATTAATTATTTTATTTTAAAGAATTAGGAATGTATTGGAACCAAAAGCCGAAGCATGTAATGTTGCCAAGTAAGCTTCCGAAGCAGGCTGCCATTTAGGCTCAGCACGTTCTCAAAAGTAAGCTTCCGAAGCGTGCGAGACAGCCATTTAGACTCAGCATGTTTTCAAATTATGATTTATACTATATAAGAATTCTATTTATTTTGGAGTTGGAGGGGATCAGATTAGGCAAAAATCCTATTTATTAATTATTTTATTTTAAAGAATTAGGGAATCTATCCGAACCAAAAGCCGAAGCATGTAATGTTGCCAAGTAAGCTTCCGAAACGTGCGAAGGCAGCCATTTAGGCTCAGGAAGCTTTCAAATTATATTAAGAGAAGGGATAAAGGGGATAACATGTCAGCTACTGCTCGGTAAACGTTTTTGGTGGTACAATGTATAAATAAATAAATTAATAAATAACATATCATCGACAAACCTTTTGATGGTTTGAAAAATTAAAAAGGTAATACAAGTAAATCGTTTTGTGAGTGATAAATACAAATAATACAATTATTTATGTTTAAATATTTATATTGGGAATTATGTCCACTCAAGTGTATACACTACAAGAAAATGATGAAATTCCAACTGAAATATATTCCAATAGAAATCCAACGGCAATTCCAATGGATATTTCAATTCTATTATTTCCGTTGGAATAATTCCAACGGAAATTCCAATAAAAATATTCTGTTGGAATAAGTTTTCCATTGGACTTTTAGTTGGATTTTCACGATTCCAACAGTGGTGGAAATAAAAATTCCAATGGAAATTGCATATTCCAACGGTCAAAAGCCGTTGGAAATATAGTCGTTGGAATCATCAAATTTCATCTAAAATTTCAATGAAAAATATGTTCCAACGAAATATTTTCGCTGGAATTTTCGTTGCAATCATTCTAATGGAAACTATACCATTGGAATATCCGTTGAAATTATTGGAATATATTACCATAGGATTTTTAGTTGGAATATAATATAGCAATTTTTTTGTAGTGATAATAAAATTTGTATCTTAATCTCACCATATTATTGACAGTGTCAAAGTCTACTCGTCAATATTTATTGTATACGAAATTGTTAAGACTTATTTAGTAATGCGTATAGCGGATATATGGTAAATTCTTACTCTTGCAAGTACTTGAGATATAGATAAACTAGTTGGTAATATGGAGCTGTTTGTTCTGATAACATGTTATAAAAATTGAAAACGAAAGAAGGGAAGAGAAATTATATATTTAAGACCATTTAATTGAAATTGTCTGGCAATTTTGTCAATAAAATGAACAGGAGTGAAAAATGAACATATTTATTGAGAATAATAGTTTCAGAAACAGTATATATTTTTTCATTTTTACCGTTGTGCGAGGGTATTTTGATCGTTAAGCCCATGGAAAATCTCAACATTCAACTAACATTGGTGATCTATAAGTAACATCATTCTACTCTTTTTTGTGGATGTAAAATTTTCAAAGAAACTATCGATAAATAAATAACTAATCCGTCCGAGATTGTATGTTTAACCCTAACTATTATATTTCAAATTTAAAAGATCACATTTATTTTTCTTATCATAATAATTGTGCAAAATATAATGCTCCACCATAAACCTAATTTGCACTGATAGCAAGTTTTGCTATGAAGCTAACAGTTGGCTCTATAGTGGAACCAACCTTCTATATACAACAAGTAAACCATACAATACTAATAAAATTATTAGTATTTATTTAAGTAATTAGAGAATATGGTATGATTTACTTGTTGTATATAAAAAGTTGGCTCTATAAGTTGATTTCATAGCAAAACTGTACAGTTGATATACCATGAGATATAATTTGCAAGCTCATGGTATAACTTTGTGAGCAATGATTTCAATGAAAAATTATTATTATTATTATTATTATGAGCTAGTGATGGAGCTAGAGTTAAAAAAAAAAGAAAAAATCCATTACTGCAATAAACTTTGATCGAACACTTCAACTTATTATGTAGTTCCTTTCAAATCAAAAGAACAAATCAACTATTTACTAAACCCTCAAATATCAAAAAGTTTAAACCAATCTATCATACTTTTATATATGACATTATGAACCCAAAAGTACATATATGAAATCACCATATAAGGTAATCAAGCCGCATATATGAAATCACCATATAAGGTAATCAAGCCGAACTTGCCTCGCTACTCGTCTTCTTATTCTTTTTCCCGCTCTTATTCGCACGCGCGTTCTTGCTCGCGGCCCCACACACTATCGTGAACTCAATCCCATACACCAAGCACGAGAACAAGCCCCCGTCTGAACTCCTCCGCGAGTGCCTCCTCCTCCCATCATTGTCCCACAATAGCTCCGACTCATCGTCGTGGTCCTCAGAGGCCGCCATTGATTTCCGCCACCCATCTCGGGTCAAGACTCTCCTATAGCCCTTGGCCCGGGCCTCCTCGACTGTGAGCTCCTCAAGGATGGAGCTACCCGTCTCGTGGTGGTCAATGTGCTCGTACTTTCTAGGGTTTGGTAGATTTTCAGGTTGCGGTTGGAGTTTTCGAGACATTTCAGCTGCCACGATGGAGGCAGAAGGCCCGATGTCAGAGCAGAGTTCGGAGCCATTCTCGACAGTCGAGCCATTGCAGATTGAGCCCGATTTTAATGGGAAGTCATCGTTGTTGGCAACCTCCGAACTACCGACACTTAAGGACCGCCATAGGTGGATTTTTGAGTTTAGTTCTTTGTTGATGACGTCATCGACGTTGTCATCATGAACCTATGTGAAGGGGAAAAGAAGTATGATAATAATAACAGTATGATGTTTCAAAACATAACACCGAAATATATATATATATATAATATAAAACCTGTTTAGCATTTTCGTGGTGATAATTACGGACTCCCGAGAGGGGCATGCTCCTCATGGTGGCGTCGAGAAGGGCAACCCCCATGTTGAGTATCCCTTGGGGGTTGCCCGATGGGCGCCGAATCTGGAGGGCCACGAATCGGGTCCCCCTGGGTCGGGCTCCGCCCGTCGGGTTGACGAGGTCGTTGACCAAGACCTTGACCACGCCCACGAGTACATCCCTAAACCAAGACACGGTGTAGATCTCGACTGTGAGGACGGCGTCCTCGGCCTCGACCTCCACGTTGAAGATGAACTTGTCATTCCACGTGGGGTTCTTGTGGCCCTTGTTGTCGGTCCGGGTCGTGTGCTTTCGGGCCGGGCCAATCCACGCAATTGCGTACGTCTGCATGGACTTGGAGACTGGCGCAAGGTCTTGGGCCGAGATGAGGCTGATTTCGAGGAGTCGGGGGTGGCTGCTGGGCGACGGTGGTGCCGGGGGCTCGGTGGAGGAGATGGTGGACTCCGGGGAGGAGGAGGGCGGCGGAGGGGCGACGGGAGGTGGGTGGTCCATCGTCGTCCGCCGTGGGATCGCCGGAGCTAGGTTGACAACGGATGGTCTAATTGGTAAAAAAAAAAAGTTACAAAAAAAAAGCGATTCTTTTTTGGGAAAATAATGAATATATGGCTGATTTGATTGATTGTGGACCTCAGTTTCTTTGGCTTGAACTACGATTTTTGGTTCCCCTAAAACTTAGCGCTCAAAATGCGGATTTAGATTGAATAGGAGAATTAGAATGCTCTTCTCCCTCGTAATTATTTTTGCCAATGTAACTTCTAAATAAGTTTAACTAATTGAAAAAGAAAAAAGAAAAAGTGATTGTTTTAATTACAAGTTGAAATAAATTGAGTCCACATGAATCCATTTTTCTCTTTCTATATAACCAATTTTCTCAAATCCCTGATTCTCTCTACGCATCTCCGAATAACTATTCAAACACATATTTTAAATTACTTATCAGAATTTATATATATTATACTATCAAAATTTACTTATTGTTAACAATTTACATATGAAAATTTATTATTCGCTCATGTTTATTTCTAAATATCATCTACTATCATTCATGTTATCTATCACTCAATTTGTAACAGTATTTTGCACCACCCCAAATTATTGTCATCAGTCTCAAATTTAACATGCCATCGAGTCACAAAAGCCAAAGTTCTAAACGGTGTTAGTGGCATCAGAAAGCATGGAAGTCCAGAAGCAGTCACAAAAGCTAAAGTTCTAAACGGTGTTAGTGGCATCAGAATGCATGGAAGTCCAAAAGCAGCTTCATGAACAACTAGAGGTATTTCATTTTTGTTTGCTTGTTTATGGTGGATGAAAATTAAGATATGTAATTTTTTAGTCCATATGGTGTTCTCTATGGGGCCGGGGCAGTTTGAATATACTGTGTTTTATTATAAATGGTCACCGAAAAAAAAAAAAAAAATCCAATTGTGCTTGGAGTTTGGACATTATAATATGCTGTATGGCCGATGAAAATACTCACACCCCCTTTAGGTTTGCGTTTTGCCGAACAAATTGAGGATGCATCTCGAAAATAAGAATTTTTATGTAATTAATGTAACTTGCAAGAATTTGAATGCCATGTTAGGAATTTTTATGTTCATGTGATTGTAAATTACCAATCTCTGTGAATGATTGATTGTTCATTCAGAAATGGCTGGAAGGAGGGACTAAATTCCAATGGAACTAATTTTTTCATACCCTATAGTTGTGTCAAATTGATTCTACCTTTTTCTATCCTTCTAAATCTTTGTGATAAGGGGATTGCTAGTGTGGTGAGGGTCTCCCTCGTGTATTCACTCGGGTAGAGGTATTTGGGAGTCCTATTATTAGTCGACAGAGAACAATCGGGTTCAGCCCAGGCCCGACTTGTCGACCACCCAACATAAGCAATAGTAAATAACTGAAATGCAATTGATCAGTCGAAATTGATTTTATGGAGCCCCACAAGCTACTTTTCTAGATGGGAATTCCAACATTTACATGTGCACTGTAATGTGTGACATTAACTTCACCCAAAAAATCTGGTCTGCATTAATTAAACCTTCTATAAATGGATCAGCTTAAGAAATTTTACTTACTATAAATGTGCATATACAAAACAGAGCACCCATAATCCATATTGGCCAAAACTCCACTTTAAGCATGGAGATGAAAACTTTTTCTTTGATCATATTTACCATCATTAATATCTCTATTTTCCATTCTATATTATTTCAAAATCTCGAAAAACAACAAAACTAACCGCAAAACATTGCCACCTCAGCTACCGGGAGCATGGCCCCTAATTGGCGGTGGCCAAACCCCGGTGGCTCGGGTTTTAGGAGCCATGGCGGACAAACACGGATCAATCTTCTCTCTCAAGCTCGGTAGCCATTTGGCGGTGTTTGTAAGCCGGCAGAGCCTCGTAAAAGAGTGTTTCACCACCGGAGACCGGATTTTCGCCAGCCGTCCCGACACGTCAATCACCAAGCAAATCGTCTACAAAGGCGCGGTTTTCGCGTTAGAGCCCAACGGGCCCTTCTGGTGTGACATTCGAAAAATCGTCACCGTTCATCTCTTTTCCGGCCACCAGCTCGAGAAATTGAGCCATGCACGAAAAACGGAGGTTGACTCGTCGATTGCGGATTTGTAGGAGAAAACGAGTCCTTTGTAGTGGACTTGAGCACGTGGGTCAAAGACTTGATGTTTAGCGTAGCCTTACGAATGCTAGTGGGAAAAGGTGAAAACGGGCGGGAAGAGCGGAGGTTGAGGGAAGGTATAAAGAAAGCGTTATATATATCTTAGTGGATTAGTTGTCATGTCGGACGTGATTCCGTGGATCGAGTGGATGGATATTGGCGGGTACTTGATAGCTATGAAGACGACGACAGAAGACATTGATCGAGTCCTCGAAAATTGGCTCCAAGAACGCATGCTCGTTAAAAACGAGGATGATTGTTCGAATTCGAATCTCATGGATGTAATGATTTCCGAGCTAAACGAGAACTATGTTGTCGAGGGACACGACCGTGGCACCATCTTCAAGGCAACGATGTTGGTACATTTTGTGTAAAGTCAGATATTTTTCGGTTACATTACATTACAACAAAATTGTAATTTTAGTCCTGTTAGTTTAACGTCGTGACAATTTTAGTCCCAATGCTCCAACATTTCTCCTTTTGGTCCTGTGATTTAATATTTTGCTGCAATTTCAGTCAATCGAGGACTGAAATCGCAACGAATTCCCAAATACACAGATTTTCGATTAACAATATAAGTCATGTAATCTAAAGTTTTGTTGCAATTTTTTGGCAGGACCAAAATGCGAAAAAGTTGAAACTTTTGGACTAAAATTGCTACTGCGTTAATTGTTAAACCAACAGGACTAAAAATGCATTTTTTGCCTTACATTACTCTCGAGTTCTTGTTTTGATTATATTTTTTGGATTAAGATACTTTTGATGGCGGGCTAGGAAACTTGGGCGACACCGTAGTATGGGCCGTCTCGTTGCTTCTTAACAACGTGCGCGTGCTACAAACGGCCGGTCCAAGAACCAGACATCAAGAAACTAAACTATCTACAAGCGGTCGTGAAGGAAACACTGCGGCTTTGCCCGCCGGGTCCACTAGCCGGGCCTCGTCAGGCGTTGGAAGACGGGTATATCGGCGGGCCCCGATTGGTGGTCAACTTTTGGAAGCATCATAGGGGGAATGTGTAGTCCGACCCAGACGAGTTTTGACCCGAGAGATTTTTAGAGGAGCATAGCAATGTGGGGTATAAGGGCACAAATGTCCGGGCGTGGACTTTGCTTTGCTCGTCGTGCATTTGGCACTTGCTCGATTGCTTCAAGCATTCGATTTGTCGAAACCGACAGGTGCAGCTGTTGACATGATTGAAGCTAACGGGTTAGCCCTGCCCAAATAGAAGCCTCTGATTGTTGTTCTTGTCCCTAGGCTTGGTAGAGAGCTCTATGAACATCTTTAAAACGTGTGTTTTCGTTTTTAGTTCTTTTAATTTGTCTCGTTTGAAATTTGAATAAGTAGGCAGTACTTCAGCTGCATAGCATGGGATGTATTATATATGTATAGAAGATAAACTCTAGTTCATACATTTGCTTACATATGTTTTGAAAACATAAAAATTTACAATTTGGTCATGACTTTGGGTTCTTTGCAAAATGGTACCCGACCTTTTTATATTTTGCAAAATGAAGCATAGGGTGAGATTCCGACGAAGAGAAAATAGTGTGTCCGATCACTTTCTATGTGGCATCCACGTGGGTAAAAGGTTTTTTGAAAAGTTAAAAATAAAAATAAAAAATTGCACTTCTTAGCACCACCTTTTTAAAACGATACATGATATTNAATATAAAACCTTTTCCCTTCTATTGATCATGTTCACAAAAAATACAAACAAATTAAAGAAACTTAAACTTGGAGGATTGCATATTGTTGATATTTGGAATTTTGAATATTGTTTAATTTGTGGGTTGAATTTCTTGATATTGTGTTCATTGAATATTGTGGATTGCATATTGTGATCTTTGAAAACCCTTTATGGATTGAAAACCCTCTAACAAGTTGTAGCCAAGTTCTTCTCATCTCACAAGAAAATAAATGCCAATTCTGGGGGCACAGATATTTCATTTGGTTGCTGAATTTGTTACAAGCACAAAAGAGCAAATGTCTTCTTGTGTATATTTGTAGGAAAAGAGAATCAGAAGGTGTAAATTTCTTTAGCCAATTTCGGTGTCCCTATTCTTCATGCTAAAATGAAGTAGTATGTGATTGAGAAGCCATTATTCCCACTCATTGTTGTATTTCAAGATTGTGTCCCTGCTGATTATGGGCATTACCTTAGCATCAGCTTGCTTGCAATTTCCTAAATAAAAAAAATAAAAAATAAAAAAATCTCCATATGAAATCAAAATAAATCACCAATTTAGTAGCAAAACAAAATACAACACCATATGAAATCAAAAGAAATCACCAATTTAGTAGCAAAACAAAATACAAGGTTCTTACATAGAAGTCCTCACCACTCCACCAAAAGCACACACAAATAAAAGCAATATCCTATAAATAACAATTTCATGAACTCTATTCATGAAAGCTTTATATGATGAGGTCCTAAGACAAAAAAATCATCTCCGTCTCACCATTTTTGTACACATTCCCATCACAAAAGCCACTGTGAACAATTCGCATTTTATCAACGTCCATCTGAAATCTTAGTACAAATATTTTCTTCAACTTTTTTTTACCTTCAAATGTGTTTGGACAAAAATATATGAATACAAGACACAATTTTGAACACAGTTTCTTGTTCAAGAAACAATTTCTTCTTGTTCAAGAAATAAATTTCTGGAGCAAGAAACGAGTTTCTTGTTCAAGAAACAGGTTTGTTGAACAAGAAATCCGTTTCTTGCTCAAGAAAAGAAACTTGTTTCTTGCTCGTTTCTTGAGCAAGAAACATGTTTCTTGAACAAGAGACAAATTTCTTGATCAAGAAACCTATTTTTTCAAGAAATCTGTTTCTTGAACAAGAAACCCGTTTTTTGAGCAAGAATCCTATTTCTTGTTCAAGAAACCTGTTTCGTATTCAAGAAACTCGTTTCTTATTCAAGAAACCCATTTCTTGAACAGAAAACCCGTTTTTTTAAGCACAAAAACAAGAAAACAATGAGAGTTCTATCTAAACAAGATCTGCAGCAGTTTTTCTCCATTCCTCCAACATTGGAAAATTTTCCGCGAGATCTAACGCGACTCGCGGAGAATAAAAACAATGGAAATGAAACAAAAATACCATTAATCAAAAACAAAACACAATCCCTTTTCTTGAAGCACAAAAATTCTATATTTTTAAACTCCAAAAAAATATGAGTTCAACAAAATAAAATGGTACTAGACAAATACTAATATTGGGAACAACAATAATAAATGTTTTCAAAATATTTTTATTTAACATAATAAAAAAAAACAAAATTTAGGTTTATGTTAATGTACCTTTTTTCTTCTCAACAAAGGGATTCACTTAGTAGTGTTGGAGATGATATTTGAAAAGAGATCACTTTTAATTGTATTTTGAGAAGATGAGTAATTTTTTTTTTTCCACACAACCGCGCGCGCAGAAGGAAGAGAGAGACAATGGAGGAAGAGAGAAGAATGAAGAATGAAGATGAAGGCGTGGCGTCCAATATCTGTTTGCAATCTTTTTCCTTTTTTTTTTTCTTTTCTTTTGATATGTAAACATTAGTAAGGGTAAAAGTGTACTTTTAACCCCTAAAATGCTAAATTTCATTATTTTACAAAACATGGCCAAATTTCATTTTTTCTTTCAAAAAATGGCTACAAAATCGAGGCTCTGTTTAATTAATATGTTATGTATACGTGTAACTTCTCTTCTAAATTTACATAAACCGTATATGCACTAAATTTGTTATTGAAAATATTTTTTCTTAAAGCTGTACTCTACTACTTCATCTAGCTATAGTATCCCGTGACATATATTATGATCCATACAAATTCTCATTTTCACACATTTTCCAACATAAGACTGAAAATTTCTATCGTCAAATATTTCAAAAGGAACAAATTAATATTCTTTTCATAACTTTTCATCTAAATTTTGTTCATCAAACACATTCTCATCTTCACTCATTTTCCAATAAAAGGTTGAATCTATTTTACCTATGCCTATTTGGATATAATAAAGAACTTGATGTTACATTATCTACTTTTTTTGTTCGTTATTTCCTTCTTCTTTGACTATTTTTGCTTCATTCTTAAAGTCAAAAATTAATATTCACGAGTATATACTTTAATTACGTGATTAGTCTGTTAATGATAAGTTGATAACAAATATTCCTCTCCTTTGAAAAATATTAGTATGTAGCTGGTGCGATGCACAAGGCATTAATGATAATTGTATAAATTAAAGCAATAAAAAAAATATATCAATATAATAATAGTTTTAATATTAATATTAATTTTTATGATATATAATAGTTTAATAATTGATTTATTTATTTATTTAATTTTCAAGTATTGGATGACATAGATAAAACTACGTAAAATTGATAAAATTCACTCGAATGCAATAACGGATGAAAATTGATAAAATTCACTCCAATCCAAGACTAGAGTTTATTTAATAACTGACTTGTCATTATAATTTATAACCATATACATTAAAATATTATAATTTTTTCTAACCTAACAGTTCACATTGTTGTTCGACAAAGGAATTGTAAGTTTATCATTATAATTTAGATCAATATGTATTATAAGAATATATTATCTATAAGTAAAATAATTGATTGAATATATTTGAAATGTTCAGTCAATGAATTTAGATCAATTATTGATATCGTATTACTTAAAATAAAATAAAATAAAAAAGTCTCACCACTAATAATACAGAAATAATTACCAAAATAAAATAAGAAAAAGACATAAAAATTGTTTTAAAAAATTATTTAGTAATAATTTTTATTTTGCTGAAAAACAATATTATTTTCAGTAAATGTAAACTTTTTTATGTAAATATAATTTCACGCATTCGAGTATCTTCCAAAAATATATATAATAAGTAAAGCACGCGTTCAGATGGCGACCAATCAATAAAGTTATTTCTATATATATATAATTGCTAGCTTAGCAATAAATTTTACCTATGTGGCAAATCATTAAATAAAACTTAATAAATAGAACCTAATAAATTTTATTTATGTGGCATTAATGCACCCAATCTCATTAATAATAAAATATTTAATTACACTTTTTTGGGTAAATTAAGACAAAAACCATTATACTTTATGTCAATTGAGTAATAATTATATTTTTTGTTGAATCATATAATAGTTAATATTAAAATTAGTAAATATATTTTATACTAAATAATATATGAAAGTTACATAAAATTATATTTTACAATAAAATCAATATTTTTTAATATGATGAAGTGATTGTTTATTAATAAATTAATTTTTTTATGTCATAGTAAAATTTCTTAAATCACATAAGCAATTGTTATAATAATGTAATATTTTTCAGTTAATTAATTGGTCATGATAACTCAAAATTTTAAAAAGTATATATTTATTACATTTTATGCAATCAATATAGGGATTCATATGCAATCAAATCGTATGTAATATTATTTTAACCAATAATTAAATTTTAAAATATAATACTATTATCTAATGTATAATTTTAATATTATATACATAAATATAACTTATAATACTATATGTTTGAAATATAATATTATTATTTAATTTATAATTTTTATATTATATGCATACAAATAACTTATAATATTTAATTTTATTTATATATGTGCAAATGCACAGGATCAAATACTAGTATATATATATATTCAAAGGAGGTTTTAATTGGGGACATGCATGAGGGGCCCTATTTGGGTCACCCTATTTCTTCCATGCATGTACAACTTTTTTGACCGAAAATTTTCAAATTAAAAATTATTATATAGAGACTTTGATTAAAATTGTCACACAATCAACTAACATAAAGCTTTTTATACAGATGTTAACTTAAAGAATATGGATTAATTCAAATGTGTATTTTGGCCGACATACCTTATCATCACGTACTTTAAAAGTCCCAATAATTGGGACAACATTCAACAATCAGTCAAAGAAAGTAAGAAACTACTTACATTGTTTATTTTGATTTAGTTATCCCCCAAGTGACGCGTTTATTTTGTTTTTATCTTATTTTATTTAATTTATTTAAAAGAATTAATAATATTTGAAGTAGATTTTTTTGTCCAGAAAGAATATATCACAAGGCACACGATATAATTGCTGACCGTCGAGGAAAATAATGTCACACCCACACGAATTGATAGGACATCGAATAATAAAGACGAGAAATAGTGACTTAAGACAAATTAATTCACACATTACTATTCAATAAAAATATTAATTTTCAGAGTTATATATGTTACTCCTTCAAATACATTTATAATCACTTTGATAACATTTCATTAGTTAAATTGCATATTTTTGTTTAACAATTATGATTGTGGGGGTCATAATATATAGTCCGTCGAACAACTATGGCCCGTTCTTTTTTAATGGATATGTAAATTTTTAAACTGAAATGTTATAATTTAAAACCACATAATTAAAATATGACATTTATGATATATATATGCATTTTTGTTTTTTAAAAAAAAAACATGAAGAGCCAATTCACCTGATGGAATAAACCGCATGCAAAAATGTGTCTAACTAATTAAAATAACAATCCAAAAATACAAATTTTTAAGCATGTATTTTGATTTTGGAATCAAGCAATAGTGCGCTTTTAGGGATACTAGCTGATTAATGATTATAGTCTTCTTTGAGTTGGCAATTACTAATTACATTAATATGCGAAAGAAAAGATTATAATAAACGCGTATCTCTCTCTCTTTCTCTCTCTTTTTTTTGGTTGCTTTTGTGTAAAATATTATGAGATAAGCTAAAACAGATGGCACCTTTCAGACAATAAACAAATAAATAATTAGGTTTGTAAGCTGGATTTAGCTATGATTTCTTTCTTTTCCTATTCCTAGTTGTACTCTAGCCAAGATGGCTCTTGAGGGAAAATATTGATTTCATTTCCCCATTTGAACTATAACCAGTTGATTATCCTGATGTACTTTTTATTGAGTTATAATATTTTTTTTCGTTGGAAAAAAAAAAATAGTTAATTATACAGATCAACAATGTGATATTTGGTAAATGCAAATAACATGAATAAGATTACTATTTTTTTAACAATAAAAAAGACTAAATTCTCATAATATTCAAATGATAATTGTTAGAATATCACTTGTGAGTTGTTCCACATCGTTCATACATAGAAAATAGACCCACCTTATAAGTCTAATGAGCTATTCCTCCTTCTACCAATTGGTTTTGGGATGGAACCCGATTTCATACTAGTTGTGTTTTTTTTTTTCTTTTTTTTTTTTTTAAGAAAATGTTNAGGAAATAGAGAGAAACTTTGATAAATTTTTCCTCGGTCATTTCACTAACTTCTTTTTTGACGTGACTGCAAATACTACACATATATAATTGTCCACTAATTATGTCCAAAGTGGCTCCCAAGAAACTCCCATGTTAGCATCCTCAATAAAAGCTGAGTTCTGCTGAGTAGTGTACGCCAATGCAGTAGCTGATTGTACCCCCAAATTACTGTTGTTATTTTCGTCAACTGCTGGACTTTGTGCTGTGCCCATTTGTACCTTGCAGATTAGGTCGCACAGGTTGGCGTTTTGGCACTGCATGTTGAGGATCTCAGCCTGTGCCTTTGCCAGCTCAGCTTGGAGATCGCAGATTTGTTTCTGGAGGTGACAGATGGCGCCAGCACAGCCATAGATCGGGTCCCGCAGCCTCGCGTTCGCCTCGTACACCATACTGTTCACAGCATCGGCTCGTTGAGACTCGGGCAGCTCCTATATACATATATTAAAAATAATAATAATAATGTATAATAGTTTAGTTAATTTAGGGATAATGACATGGAACTGTGGAATTAATAACTTAATTAGGGTGTTGGTTGCTATTTATCCGAAAAGCTAGCTAGCTAATGAATAGTGACCGAAAAAACTCATTTCTGAGATGTTATCTCAATAAACATCTCAGGTAAACTCGAACTCATTAGACAAATTCATCTATTAAACAAGACTTATTTGAATAAGTGACCTTATATTCCAATTAAATAAATTATAATCTAACTGATGAAATACACTCTATCTATTTTCAAGTGTCCATATGCTGAAAATGCTAAGCTGTTTCCGTGTTTATATAATTAGATGTGAGTAACTTGAAATAAATAAATGTTTTGAAAAGGGAGAGTTGAAATTGATTGGTTAGTACTATTTAATTGCAAACTTGTACAGCAACAATTTGGTCATTATTATTAGTAAATTAGGTGCCTATTTATTTGACTTTTACGTAACAAGACCTCTTATAAATCTGTGTAAAAATTCAATGTGCTATGAATGAATATATCCACAGTTGCCAAATTGCACTCAACAAATTAAGAGGACATGATCACATGAAGTTGATTTATCAACCTGCTCACGAGTTTCTTCAAATGGTATAAGTCTGTAAATAAACAAAGACTTTCATTAATCTTTTTATATGGTTTTTGAGGAAATCTTTGTGCATTGTTACAGAATGTTTTGTCAATTCAAAAGTAAGAAAAAGGAGTGCAAAAATGATCTCAACTTTTGACTGACAAAAAAAATTGTTCTATTGCTTATGAAGAAAAATAATAATAATAATAATAATAATAATAATAATAATAAACTCTAGCTAATTCTGTTATAGAGTAGCTGCAAACTCCTAGGAATTAATTAAATTCCACAAATATACTCTGTAAAAGATTCCTGTCTTATATAAAACCAAACACCCCTTAAATCCAAAGAACAAAAAACAAAATAAGAGTAGCTAGAGTAGTAATTATATCTCATAACCACTTCTAAGTAATATAAAGTATGTGCTAGATTTCATTCGTAGTTATCCTATTTTTTTATCGTTGGATCAATTTATACATATGTATAAATGTTTGAGTTAAGCAAAAAGCGAAAAAAGTTAACCCGATAACTGCTATATGATTGAAATCTTTTCAACTGTACATTACACAATAAACCCTAGTTAGTTTACCTAAAAACTTCTCTTAAAAACTAAAAAAAAAAAATGCATAATATAAA